TTTAAAACCACAAACCACAGACATGACTTCTAAGTTTAGCAATTGATTCGTAATGTCCTTGGTGCTAATTTTACCATACCTTCCTGTTCTATTCCCGTCAACAAGTTGCTTAGTCTTGCATTTGACTTTTCCTGTCACTGCCCTACAGGTCACAAGAAGCTAACTTGGCTTTATCAAATGCAATCAAAACTAATATTAAAACACATAGAAGGCTACTAAAATTTTCCTCTCACACCTTCAAGGACTTGAAAAGTAACCCAGGGTTAATGCTGTGTCTGAGCTATTTCTGGCCTTCCATGCTCAGGCAGGTTCAGTTGATGGGAGATTCTTGGATACTACTGGACAATGAATAATTACACCTTCACTTTTTGAGGTGGTTAATTGTCTTCCCCATTTACAGTGAACTTCTGAGACCTTGCTGCAACTTCTTTCTTACTTCCAGAACTAATGCAATGCAATGCAATGCAAAGGGCACATTACTAATCCATGCAAAAATCATTCTGAATTAAAAGAAATTAAAAGGAATAATGTTTATTAATATTTTAGTTTGAAATTAGTAAATTTGGTTTCATTTTAGTTGATACTGTTGAAATTTGGACCCAAAGCTGGGTGGGAAAAAATGCTGACTTTCCAATCTTGCAACTTGCCATGATGTTTTGTAAAGGTACTGTCCTGTTTTGATCTCTGTCAAGTATATTGGGCTAGCATATCTGAATTAACTCTGATATTACTTCAACAAGAGTGGTTTAAAAAGAAGACTGAACCTAGTACCTGATTGTTTGCAGAATAACCAAAACAAAGATAAAATTAACAACAACAAAAAGATAAAATTAGCCTGCCTGCCTGCCTGCCTGCCTGCCTGCCTGCCTGCCTGCCTGCCTGCCTGCCTGCCTGCCTGCCTGCCTGCCTGCCTGCCTGCCTGCCTGCCTGCCTGCCTGCCTGCCTGCCTGCCTGCCTGCCTGCCTGCCTGCCTGCCTGCCTGCCTGCCTGCCTGCCTGCCTGCCTGCCTGCCTGCCTACAGGGTAAGTTGTCTTGGTGGATCTGGGATGAAGTAATGGCCTCAAAGTTAACTTGCTTTTTTTCTGTGTGTTAGAACCAGGCTCAGTGTCACATGGTGTAATGGACAGAAAGAATAATCTTGAGGAACAGGAGGAACAGCTGCAATCAAGGCAACAGTCAGATAAAAGAAATCTGAGTGGGGTGCAGAAATGTAATTTGAGGAAGCATCTCAGACAGGACCCTCCATAGTTCTCACAAAGATAACAGGAGGGAGCGGGAAAGATATTCAGACTTGCAAGATTCTGTTACTGCAACCTTATAATAAGAGTGGTATTAGCATTCATAGTTTTGATTTCCTAATCTGGTCTACCTTGGAGGGCTGACACATTGAGAAGCTGATTAAAATGCCTGGGACTATGGCACATGTGATGTCTGATGTGTCTAATGGATCTACATGTGCCTTAGAGCTGAAACCATTAGGCAACGGTAGACACGGTTGTTGGATGTTTCTGGAGTTGTCTTGTATGGCGTGGACTGGAGATACTGTGCGTATCACAGTATCATCCTACAGAACAGGTGGCAGAGGAAGCTGCAGTGGGATGGAAGGAGAGAACTGCTTTAGCTGGTGGAAAGGGCTGCAACTTTCAGATGTCAATGAAGATAACCTGACAAAGGTGCCAGAATCCAAGAAACCAAGAGTTATTCTTATTTTTTCCCATACCCCCACCCCCACCCCAGACTATGAGTGACTTTCAAAATAAAGGTACTGAGAGAAGCTGTGTGAGGGAATGAAACCAATAGGAGACTCTTAAAAAGCTCCATCTGGCATTTTCTGTCTAGAACTGTAGACGTATAGTTCGTTAAGCCAAGGCTTTATCTGCTGGAAATATGCACAGATTATCTACCTAAAAGCACCACAACAAGAAAAAGGTGTGATTTAGAGAAGAACAGCATGTGTGTGTGGAAAATTTCTGTCCCTTTTCCCAGTTTCCAGCACAGCAGTACTTACAGTCAAAGCCATATTCTTCATGTGCAGAATTATAATAAGGTTTGTTTGACTTACAAACTTTGAGATTTAACATAGGGTACAGAAAGAACTGGATTCATAGAAGTGCCTTACCGAGCCTTTTCTTTCGCAACAGCTAACAGCTCACTCTGCAGAGTTTTCTCTCTGTCCTGAAGAACCTAGGAGCAAATATACAGCAAGTTACTGTTTCTTCCTTTCCCCCTCAGCAATTTTGTACATTTCAAAGTCTGGTAGCCATTTTGTGTATGCTGACTGTATCCATTGACTGTGTATTCTCAGCAGGTATTGTCTCACTTCAAATAGAAAAGATATCCAGCAGCATTTCTTCATTGTCAGAACTGTCAATTGCTGATATTCTTTACAAATAGCTATTTTAAGGATGGGTAATATATAGCAAGGATTTCAGGTGGCTTGTAAGAAAGCACATGAAACCAAAGGATAAGGTCTAAAAATGAGGTCTTAACAAATAATAGGATAAGTAAGATTTTTGGAAATTTCTCTAATATTCATGGCAGATCTCATTCAAAATTGAGATGTCTGTTTTTTCTATTAATTTTTTATATGAAGTGCAAAGTGGAAACCTACAGCTCTTTCCTTTGAGAAAGACATGGAATTGTCACATCTATGTTGAGTTTTTGCATTTCTCCATAGACATGACATACACATTTTCATGTTTCAAGTTACAGAGGAAATAACTAAGGCCATGCTAAAACTGCCTACAAGAAAGAAAGAAGTTAACAATGACAATTATTCCTTTAGAGATTCCTCTGATTGTTGTTAAGGATTATTTTTTGATGCATTACTGTAATAATATACTTTCTAAGACATATTTAGCTGTGTTGTTCTTCCTGCTGTCCTGTATCTACTTTTCATATTTTATCCAGCAGTACTGTTTATTTGTATATTACAAATGTTTTTATGCCACTTCAATCATTTGTTTCTAAGTGACTTACAAGCAAGCACATACAAATCTGTCAAAATGCAGTACTCACAATGAATATCAAAATATCCAAAAGTAAAATATAGTTAGCAGATGCAATATTATAATAATAAAACCATAGTGTTGTATTTTATCAAAACATAATCACATACTCAGGTTCTTCTACTCACTCTCATCTCAGTCTCCAAATACATGTTGAAAAAGCCATGTTTTTAAAAGCTGCTTGAATATTAAAAGTGAGGGCGTGATTCTTATATATCTGGCAGAATGCATGCCTCTGAAGAGTGGCAAAATTTAAAAGAAGGCTACAGAAGAGTTACAGCCAATGTCAGTGAAAGCCATTTTTTTTGAGAGATCAAAAAGCCATTTTCCAGAAGTGAGAAAGGCATGTCCACATCTTGTCAGATAGTTGGCATACCAAACTTCTGGGAATAATAATGATAATAATAATCCCCCCCCCCTCAAAAGGACCTGTAAACAGAAGTAGAGCAACTGTGGCAAAAGAAAACAAGGACAGTACCAATAGTTATAGGTGCCTTAGGTGCATCTGGAGCGCCACTTGAACACCATCAGCATTGACAAAATCACCCTCAGTCAATTGCAAAAGGCAGCTTTACTTGGAACAGCTGACATCCTGCGCCGATACCTTTAACACCATCAAAGAACAAC